CCGAGACGGACCTCGAAGCTGATAGCAGCTAGCAATTGGCTCTTCAGCTGAAACATGCTGAAACCATACCGTGCATGGGTCAAAAGGACATCATGTGGCCGTTTATAGGGTGATTTGGAGGCTCGTGTACCTTGGTAATGCTTTTGTTATGAGGTAATGCTTTTGTTATGTTAGTCTGTAGGTTTCGCTGATTTCCAGTCTAATGTTTCTATCTTGAAGTCCCAGCAAGTGTTGATCTGCCAAATGAAGATCCAATTCGTTCGGAATCGAACAGGTTGCTCGGAATCCTGGTACGTTCATGTGTTGGGAAGGTTTGGGATCCACTGCATCCATGCCGTTGGCTCTTTTTTTTGCATCTAACATCATCTAGCATCAAAGCTCCAAGTCCACGCGCTTCGACCATTTTGTCACCTTGAAACTTCTGCATGTCATTGTCTTGGACCTACTCTGGGGCTCACACTCTGTGATCGCATCCTTTGGTTTTGATCTGAGTGGTTTGCGGATCGAAGACACAACAGTTTCGCAGACTTCTCGGTTGCGTTGCTGAACAAGTCGATCATGCTCTCATGTTACCAACAAGCAGACGGCGGGTATGGACCACTTGCGAGCTGAAGAAGAGCACGACACAAAGCATCAAATACTTTCATAAACAATCGGTTAGCATATTCCTTCAAGCCTGGGCCTATCTTCTGACACTGGACAATTTGACTTCTATCAAGGACGCTAGGAAAACCAGGGCATCGCGACTGGAACGGAGCAAGGAGGGGCTCCTGGCCGAACGGAGGAACGTTCGGACGCGACTTGAACGGAGGAGCTCTTCTCCCAGCAGATCCAACGGTGCTGGCACAGCCGATGGACGGGGAATGCGAGAGTCTCAGTCAAGAGGAAGGAGAGAAGCAGTGCCAGGCACATTCTGGATGAGAACCGGAATCAAAAATTGAATCAATTAGACCATGTAAAGAATTGTAAAGAACTGGCAACCAAACACCCAAACCACCAAAAAGGGATGAATTGTCTCAACTGCCTTGAACATTCTCTCCCTTCAAGTAAGGAGCAAAGAGTCCGCTACCAACGCACATCTTCTCCCGCAAAACTATCAGCTCTCACAGGCGCTTGGGACTGAAGATGGCAAGAAAATGAGGGACTATATAGATGGGACTAGTAGCTTGACCCTTTTCTCCAGTTGAGGATCCTTCTTGCGCATCTCATTACAGGTACAACTTGATACATCTTTCACTCGCACCTCGAAGCCATCGGTTCATTCACCCTGTTCCAAGGGGCTGGTCGCAACCTCTCTCTGTCTCGGAGCCCAATCCATTAAAGTCTCGACAGCCCCCAAGGGCATAAATGGAGTTGGAGGAAGAATCACCCACCACTGGGTGCTCTTCAGCATGATATCCCATGACCTGACCGCATGTGAGCGGAAAGAAGTGTCCAAAGAAACGCATGGAACTTGGCAGATGGGAACCTGCGGGGCGTCGTCCGCCGCTCCTTTCGTTGGGAAGTGGCGCTCCTTTGACCCGTCATTCGTCCATCTTGCCTCTTGGAGCAGGATCAAGGCCATTCGCGTAAAGAGGTGGGAGGAGTCCCAGGCGCAAATAAAGAGGCCTGGTGCCGGTCACCGATTCAACGCTGCTTGGTGCAGAAATGCACCCCCGTTGGCCCTCGCCTACTGGAAGATCTTGGCCATCATTGTCCTGCACAAGTTCTTGGAACTTGGAACAGGTCTTTCAGGTTTCTGCCGGCTTGGAACTGGTGCTGAAAAAGTATTTTTGAACCTCGCCTTCATCCACTGGCGCTGCTCTGGGGGGGATAGCATCTGGAAGGCAGGTCGGATTTGATGCCGCCAGTCCCAGGATGAATCCTACGCACCAGTGCTGCAATCGAAAGCGACTACATAGGCCAAATCTCATGAGCAGAACCTGGCGGACACGCGCGAAGTGCGGAAAAAAGGGCGACAAATCACGTCACATATTGTCACATGCATCATGCATCACAATGGGTCATCATATATCATCATGAATCATTGAATCATGCATCATCATGCAAGTTGTATGCTTGCGCCAAAAGCATCCAAAAGCTGATCCCCTGGAGAATGCACATGAGGACGCACGTCAAGTCAGCTCTGGAGATACCTACCCATAGCGAGATGAAACCCCACAGCACCCGCCACACCATCGGTGTTGGATAGTTTTGGTGAACGAAAATCGACCTGGGGGAGGGCAACCTACTTCAAGAATCTTCAAGACCGGGAAGAGGGTGGATTGTGATTTCGGAAACAGCACGTCTGGGAAAACGCACGTTCCCAGAACACTCACTGAGAGAACACTCTCAAGGGTCTGCACTTCGAAGATGGAGTGGATTGTTCCCTGAAAGATACGTAAGTAGGTTGATCTTCTAGCTCTGCCGCAAAACCCAAACAAGTCCCAAAGTCTTCCAAAATCATTCCGGCAGCCGAAAATGTCTTGCGGTCCCTGGCCCCAAGGCGTTTCAGTGAACGCCTAATTACATCTTGTGAGATGGGCAGCGCAAGACTGTGCTGTGGGTTCCTTCGATTTGGACACCAGAAGCCCACCAGCCTCGAGGTTCCATCCACACGGGCCCAACAAACCCGAACTGGACAGCCCCCGGAGCCAGCACTTTGCGTCAGGACAAGTGAAGGAACATGCAGGGTGCTTTCAGGCTCTCGGGTTGAAGTGTTCCTTTCGATAGCTTCAAATGCCATGAGGTCATGACGAGTCGGCCTCAGCCCCTAAAGCGGGCGTCCGATCGCTCCGTTCGTAGTAAGGCCATTCCTAGTTCATTGTTAGAACCTGAATTCACCAGCCAAATGCTTGTCCAACCTCGACGTATCGAACTGCTCCTGTGCTCCAAAGAAGGGCTTGGGCGGCAGAGCCTGGCGCGGCTCCGTGAACAACTCCTCTTCCGGCGATCATTCTATTGCGCCATCCGCAAGAAGAGACCAACACGTGTGGTTGCAGGCAAAACCCGTGCAAGTTTAGGGTATGTTACACATACATACATGATACTCTTTGGAAAAGTCTGTGTAAATGGAATTGATATCGTTGGAGGCGGGTTTAGTTTACCTATCCAGAGTCGCCAGTAGTTATTTCACTCTGAGATGCTACTAGTAGCTCCTGGCCTTACTACTAGGAGATACACTAAGAATTGCGTCACAAAGCCTGTTGGACTGTGCAAGGCCTGCCGCTCCACCCGCCTGTGCCCCAGCGTCTGGTGTTGGTGGAGCTGGGTTGGCGATGTCCCTCGAACAGTGGTCGAAGCTCAAAGACCTCTAGTAGCGTTCTTGTTACGTTTGTAGCAATGCCCCTTGTTGCTAGTAGCAAGAATGGCTCCATTCGTAGTAAGGCCAGGGGAGCCCCGTTCGTAGCGACGCCGAAGGGAAAACGAAAGCGTTGTTCGTTGACCGATGTCACCCTCGCCGGTGCGAGCTCAGCGCTGGCGCTGGCTCGTTTTGAAGAATCCAGTGGTTTAGACTCTAGAGTGGACCTTCTCTGAGCCGAGCGCCATTTCATGTGATTGCAGTCTATGTATGAATCCATCTAGTTTCGAGTGAAAGTCTGCAGGGCCGAGGGCTTTTGAGGGCTATGGATGAGAGCAGTCTTTGCATGGATATTTGCAATCGTCCCTTTGGTGGGGGCTGGGTACCAAGCTGCTAGGCTGCTATTCAGTGGCTCCTATGGCTCACTGCGTAGAAAACGGATGTGAACCCAAGCCGGCGGTTGGAGGTCGCAAGGGAACGGGAGGGGCCATCTGTCCATCTTGGATGAATCAGGACAAGTTCATACAATATCCCGGCCCGGCGAGGGGCCAATTTTGAGCACCCCGCTCTATATCTGCCCAGTCGTCATGAATGTGGTGTTTCCTCACCTGGAGAGGTGATGGCTGTGCTGCTCCAGGAAGGTGTGGCCCAGTGCTGGCGTGCCTGCACGAAGGGGGGGATTGTCAACTTCAATTGGCCCTGGTTGACCACCGATGAACAGACTAGACGACCTGGGAGGTCAACCAACAAGGGCCAACGGGGCTCTGGGTGCCCACAGAGCAGATTCCATCAGGAACTCTACTGACCGATTCAGCTGTGGGGCTTCCGAACCCCGTCCGTTTGGCTCTCATTTTTCAGGGCATCATGGAGCATGGCTTCGAGAATTTGCCTTCCAATCTTTCGGGCGGGAGGCCATCCCTACTAGGGTGGAGGCCATCAGAGTGGAGGCCATCGCCATTAGGTTGGCCACCCAAGACACGCGCTGAGCCTGCCAGTGCCAGAAGGGTGACCAGAGACTTCCTCAGGCTCAGCGATCGAGCAGATCGTGGAGCGACCGAAGAGTTGGGGAAGTCGGGTCAATCGACGTGGATCTGAAGCATGATCCGGCATCCGACGCTCTCGATGCAGGATGCAGGAAGTGGCAAGAAGCTTCGAAAACGACGTGCGAAGAACCAAGAAGTCTCACTCCTGTAAGCTTCTGGCTATAGAATTGTATCTTTTCGACCAAGAAGTGCGTCCTGCCCACAGGGGATTGTGGGTTCCTTCAGCCCGGGATTGTGAACGCCGTGAATGCAGGATGCATGGTCCCCTCTTCCACAAGGCCGCGGCTTTGGGGTCTTAAGCTCTCTTCTGGTTAGTACCCCACATTCTCAACACGCCTTGAAGATCTTGCGGACGGCAACCTCCCAAACCTGACACCTCCTCAACCTCACGTGGTTTTTGTTTCCTCCCACGAAACGCGGGCCCTGAAAAGAAACAGTGGACACCGGACACCATACGTTTCAAACCCGGAGCCTCTGTACTATACGATCCAAGGGACATTAGTCCGAGCGCGCCGCTCGAAGAAGTTTGGGCCGGCGCGGCTGCAGCAACTTCAAAGTCCTTTCTTGAACCCTAAAGTCCTTCGGGTAATTTGTATCAGGAGTGTCTAAGATTCGCAAACTGCTCTTTAGGGACCGCCTATGTGATTGAAAAAGGAACTCAAGAGTCTGTTGGGCTTCACAGGGGGAGTGTCTTGGGTGAAGATCTCTAAAGAAGCCACTCTTGCAGGCTTGAGAATAGAGCCACAAAGATCACAAAGTCACTTTGCAAGAATGGCCTAGTCGATTGACGTGTCGCTGGTGAACTGAGAAAGAACAAATGGTAAGTCAACGCATGGCCACGGATAGTATTTCTCATCCAGTGAGGATTTGTTCGAAGAAATGCACCGGTCGTGAAGCTTCTGAAACGAGTGAAACGCGGGTCAGGGAGTCGCATCGCGAACACAAGTTGCGGTGCCGCACGTCGGGGCTTACCCCGAAGGAAGACACAAAACGCACAAAAATAGTTCATACGAGTAGATTGATGATCTTTGGTCGCTCCGACGCACGAGGGATGCGTCATAGCCACTAGAGTCACTAGACCATACCGGCCCTCTTAATTCCTGACGGTGTCTCTTTCTCTCTCTCCCTCTCTTTTGCATGGTTTTTCCTAGTTCAAGCCCTGGGTTGCTGGATGCTTTTACAAGAACTCGGCAGCTCGCTGCGTCTGCGGCGCCTGCGGCTTCCGGTCGTGTGTGGGACTTTGCCACCACGGCATTTGCGAGACCTGGCAGGGCATCTGCGGTATATCGGTATATCTATTTGCCTACCACTTGCGACCTCCTGCTGCCAGGAAAACACAGGCTATAGTGGTCCCCAAATAGAAAAGATGGCACGGCTTCCAAAACATCTTTTACGTGGGGATCTACTGTTCTATCATGTTCTATCTATTTGGGGGGCCCATATACAGAATGATACAGAATGTGAAGCTATCAGAGGATGCATGAAAACATCGTGACTGACGAAGGGGTCACAAGCAGGCAATGCTCAGGTGGCACTGACTGCATTGCGTTGCAAATGTTCAGACGGTGTTGCTGAGGTTGGTAGCACTCATGGGAGACAACATGTTTGCTTGTAGATGCGTCAAAGTTATTGTTTGGTATTTTGTTGTTGCAAGTGTGATGGCACCGTAGGTGCCACAAAGCAAGGACTTGCTTTCGCCTTATTGACAGCCCCATACAACCCCCAAGCTTGGCTGCGTTGTTTCGAACAGCTCCTTCCTTCCATGTGCCTAACAGGAAGAATGTAAGCAAAATGCGCCAACCCCGGTCTAGGCCGATGAACGTGAGCGTGAGCGGAGCGGGGCCAGCGTGTTCCTGTTGAAGGACTCTTGTGAGCGGTGGGCGATGTCACGCTGCCATCACATTGACGAACACTTGCCAACAAATTCCCGCTTCAATGACATTTGTCTAGATTCTTCTCTTGTGCGGGAAAAGCGTTGCGCAGCATTTGGCCCCGGGTTCGGGCCCCCTGCGTTCGACTCCTCCCTCACCCCTTGCTGCGCGGCATTGGGTGCGCCGAACGACGAGAAAAGAAACCGAACGACGTGGATAGTGGGGCATGCAAAGTGTCGGAGAGCTTCTCCGGCGTGGGCCGCGTGGGTGTGGCTTCAATTTCGATCTGCTAAAGAATGGCGGGAGTTGAGGAAACAGCAGCTCAAAGTCGGTTGTTGAAGAGTCCCCTGTATAAACACACATATTCATATTGGCATATTGGACATGCATGAGATGGAAGCACCACAAAAGGATAATCTTTGCAAATGAGTTCTAGTGCGAGATATTCCAACATCCATCGATCAAAAGGTTGATGAACCATGATGAATTAAAGCACGTTCATGACGCTCTATCAAACCAGGAGGGAAGTCTCATCTTCCACAAATTGTTCCACCACTTCTAGACCGCTCTACCACCCCTCTCAGGGGTCGGCGGGCGGCGGGCAGCGGGAGCTAGCCCCCCTTAAACAATGCGTTGGTGAACTGCTTTATAGCACCGATTTCAAACCCACAGAACCCACAAAACACCACCCACAGGCGCCGGTGGAAACACGAAGAAAATGAAGCAAACCTGCAAGCACCACTAAAAGTCTCAACCTTCAGTGTGGTATTCTGATGTTCCAATTTTTGAGAAGAAGAAACGACCTAGAAACGAGCAAAACAACAACCTGAGAGCTGGGTGTCATATTCCCCGACCTGAGAGCTGGGTTCAGCAAGCACCTGTTCACCATCCAAACACACCAGACAGGACACGCTCAAACAAAGACCTACCATGAACCAAGAATATGTTTGGAATATCAAATGGCCCAACTGCCAACCCAGTGAGTAGCTTCTTGTTACTAGTATGGCCAGGAGCTACTATTTATGTGCCCTTTGTTCCTAGTAGTTTCTTGTTACTGGAGCAAATCTTGACCTGTAAAGCAGGTCTGATACCCGATTTCCCCGCCTGGATCGCATGCTCCTCAGCTTCGGGGAGGACTTTCTTCCGACGGAGCCGACCGGTCATGGGTGGGCGGCTTTGTGGGGCCGTACTGACCTGGTTGGCAGCGTTTGTAGCGTTCAAATCAACGGCTGGAGGCCGAAAACGAAAAGCAAAGCTCTTTTTGGAAGGAAAATGCTTTTGGGCCGAAGCGCGAGCTGGCGGCGAGCGATAGAGGCGAGCTGCCAAAGATTTGTATGCTGTATCTTGCCCAAACAGGTGTTCGGCCGGGAACTTCTCTCACTCATATTCAGCTGTTCTTCTGAACTTTACATAAGTGGTGAGCTGACTCTCTTCTTACTCTCCCGCGTTTTCCCACGCATGCGCTCCTTGAACGCATCCTTCCACTGCTGAGTGATGTCCGCGTCCTCGGTCGCTGCTGTGCGCTCCCAAAATGCCAACTGTTTCACTGAGCGCTCCAAGAAGCGGACCCCAACCGAAGATGCAACATGTTTAGTGCACAAGTGCTCAGTGCTAAGTGTAGTGCACTTTGAGCAAGCTAGGCAAGAACACTTAGAGCAAGAAGACGAGAAGCACCCTTGGGTACATAGAACACTTCTTGAAAACTCTGTGTCCTTGAATATCTGGAATGCCATCGCAGTTGCCAATAGCTGCGCAGCCAATACTACTATCACTGCTCAGCAAGAGGGCCAATACTACTATCTGGAGAGGGCCACTAAACCGAAAGAACAAAACTACCAACCCATGTAGACACAACGCTTAATTTAGGGTCTTTTGTTGCATTCCTTTTGAGGTGTGTTTGCCTTTCTGGTCTAATTGCTTTACTTCTTTCTGGAGTTTCGGCTTTGGATACGCAGAAGTTCGAAATGCCAAGGGTGCATCGAAACAATTGCAAGTCAGACTAAAGAATTTCAGCCCTGTACTTCTATTTTGTCAATTGCAGAGAGTGCACACCCAAAACACAACACAAACAACTGGTTATCTGGGCCCAGGCGATTTCTGAACAAAAGAGAAATGGAGGAGGCTGGGTAACTGTCACGACTCGCTGATGCATTTGCTGGCACTGGGTGAACCCTCTGCCTCGCGAAGTGTGGATGAATTGAAAGAAAAGGAATCTGGAAGGTGGTTGTTTCAGAAGTTCAGGACAGTAAGGGCAGTGTTCTTCTTTTCTGGGTTCTTGTTCTCTCCATTTTCACAACAGGATCGCTGCCAAAGTGCTGAGCCGGTCTTGACTAGGCCCTTCTTGCAGTATTGGCCGTTCTGGCAGGAGGTGCGAAACGCGAACACAACGGAACGGAAATGCAAAGGACGACGCACTGTGGTCGTAGTGGTTGCGGCTGATTCATCTCAAGTGGTTCCTAGTGGTTCGTGCAGTGCTTCGCAAAAGATTCCTGCCGGTCTAAAGAGAATAGTGGGCGGCCGGTCTAGACGGGCCACCTGCAACCCATTCCACTTCGAAGACAGCGAGGCTATGCATGGCTACAAACTTTGCGAGCCAGCTTGGTTTGTAGATTTGATGCCCCGCCTGGTTTAGCAGTAGGGGCTCCTGGCCTTACTACTAGGAACAAGGACGCTACTAGGGGCTCCTGGCCTTACTACTACGAGCAAGGACGCTACTAGGGGCTCCTGGCCTTACTACTACGAGCAAGGACGCTAGTAGGGGCTCCTAGCCTAACTACTGATGCCCTGCTTGGTTTGTAGATGTGATGGCCCGCTTGGTTTAGCAACAGGGGCTCCTGGGCCTTACTACTAGGAGC